TTTTTTATCTACATAATGACCTATGATGGGACTCAAAATTGCAGAAAGATAGTAAGAAATACTAAATATTGTATTTGCAACGTTTTAATTCAATTTATAACTAAATATTAGATTAGAATTACATTTATTTAAACATTTCGACACTGTTATAACTGAAGATTAAGAAAACAGAATAGCAGGTCACACATGTGATTAAAGTTATATAAAATTCTAAGCTAAAATTTCTAATTTATCTAAGATCTACACTATCCAATTTTTAGTCTGTGGTTTTATCTCTTATATCACTACATCTATCAATTTAGGTGAGAATTATGATTATTAGAAAACTTATAATTGCTATAAGGAGATAAATCAATAAGCATTGAGATTTGAAGATTGATAAAGATAAGGATAGATAATAGCAGCTCCAATTGATCCTAATCTACAGATAGCAGTATCAATCCTGTATTTAATTAATTTATATACCCAAATGCAAGGGAATTTTCTTTACCTTAAAACCATTTATTGATATAATAACTCTCAGCTACAAAACCACTTGATTCAAATGATCCAAAAATAAATCTACCACTCACCATCCAAATAAAATGCTTATAAATTACAGACACAAAACATAAAACTTATTATATAATTTTCTATTATTAATACGTTAGCCAATAATCACAATTGATCCAAAAAAGACATAAGAACGTCTTACCCCAAAAGTATCTATAATCAGACCCCCAATTAATGACATTATCATATTTGGAAAAGATCTAAATGTTCATAGATAATTAATTTCTGCTTAACTCACATCAAAATAAGACTTGATCTGTTCTCCTAAAAGTGCTGGATATTCCCCTATTAAAAACTGTACTAATGGATAAACACCAATTAACACTAATACAAACCATCTTAAATTTGTGTTATGCCAAGAAGTCATTTTTTCCATTATTTAATTTTAATATTTTTATTTCTTTTTTGAATATAATAATTTTAATAGATATCCATAATTCTCTATTTTATAAATAAAAATTCAAATCTTAAAATTTCTGTTTAGAATCTTGTATTAATCATAACAAGAGGATAGTAGATATATTAAAAAGTAAAGAATGTAAAATTAACATTTAGATTAGCTAAAAACAATGCCCTTAGGAGGTGAATTGAAAAAAACTAAGTTTATTTAAAATTTGCACAAATACCTGAATGATAATGTTTATTTTAAAAACGGTTTAATTTTGGAAGTTTATAGTGTAAAATTAATTTACTATTATTCGGAATACTAAAACTTGAGCTCCTTTATTATTTTGTATGTATCATCTTTATTGATATGGATTTTTTTAGTTCATATTTGGGAATATTTTTTAGAATCAATTTTTCCAATAATTTTTTGTACTATTTTCAATTTTTAATTATCTATTTGGTAAAATATTAAATATTATGTTCAGTATGATATGGAAAAGAATTAATTTCAATTTTAAATAAGAAAATTTCCTAGTAATCTTTTAATTAATAAATATTTTCTGCTTAAAATAGAATAATCACTAGAGTTACAACAGATCCACTTTCCAAAATAATATAGAATAAATATTATCAATAACATTCACAGCAAAATTTGTATTATTCCTCTTCTATATTTATAAATGAGTTATTTATTCATTTAATTAACCATTTTTAACTATCTATAAGAGCTTTATTAAATTATCTATTTAGATTTGATAATTAAATTTAATCATCTCCAAAAATATTTATTACTTTGTGATTTCTATATTCAGGACTATCTGAAAAACAGTAATATTTTAATTAAATCATTTATATTTCTTATATAAAAGTAGAGATATTTAGTTGATTTGTAAATAATCCTTTAAGATTTAAAAGAAATTAATTATTCTTTAAATTTTATGTTGAAAAAGATATTAATATTGCTATAATCATCTTACTTTCTAGTTAATCATTTTCATGGCGGGTTTATCTCTAAATTTACACATCAATGTTAAAATGGCTGTATTTTAGCACGGAATGAAGTATTATGGAATATTTAATTATAGAAGTTTTATTCATTTTGAATGGTTAGATCTAAAATTTAGTATTTTTTTGAAAATTACCAACC